TATATATATACACATCAGTTTTTCCAAAGTTATAGTAAATTTTTACTATAGTTGACTGTTTTGATAACTTTTCCTGAAGGGTTTTATTTCACTTCACTGTATTTGGCTTGTACATTGTCTGTCAGTTTACAAAGTTTACACACAGATGAAGTGAACCCACTGCATCCCTCAAAACACAGAGCCAACCACATCCCAAATCCTAAAATATCCCCTTTTCACCACATCACCGTATACTTCTTTATTTGAATGTTTGTTTTCACAAGTTTAGCACATGCTCCTTTTATATTCCCTAAGTTGTAATCTTAATTATTGACATTTCATTATTTCTTGTATGTACTATTTTAGGCTCTGATATAGCCTCTTTTTGATGAAAATGCCTGAAATGTGGAAAGTTTTTAAGTTTTTTTTTTTAGTTTTTTGTTGATCAAAACATCCCTGGGTTTAGACAGATGTCCAGTAGTAAAGTAAATATTTTGCAATACTGTAAAATTTACTTTTGTTCTGTAACAAAGCAACTGACTAACAGTAATATCTTTTTTTTCACACATGGATTTTTTATTCTTGTTTTTGTTTGTATGTGAGGATTGTTTCAGTTAAACTATATAAAACATGGCAGTCATCCTGAGTCCATTTGCTATGTGTCCTTTAAGCCATTCCTTGACATACTGATCAATAAATATTTGGGGGTTCGTCCGGGATTTTAACCCAAGAACTCTAACATTTTGGATCCAGTTTCGTGGACTAATGGTTCTAATAGGTCTTAGAATGTGCATGCAAGGTATACCATATACTGGTGGTTCTCAAAGTGAGGGGCCCCCTAGAAGGGGGGGGGGGGGACAGTGGCATTGGTGGGGGGATGTGGTGCGACTGAATGAAAAATGAATACTATTAGCATAATGGTCAGGTTTTTGATGGGGTTCCCACATAAATGCAAAGAAGTGAGAATTAAAGGTGTCACTTTTGCTTAAACTTTTCTTTTCCTCTCAAGATAACAAAATGTTTTTAAACCCATTCTGCACAGAGAGCCATTTTCTTATTATAAACCAAAAGGGTGTAGGTGAGGTGTGGGTGATGGGGGTCCGGCAGAAACAGTTTGGGAATCACTGCTTTAGACATAATTTTCCCCCTAATTCAGCTGTCAAAATAAAAATATAGTAGAAAACAGTTATGAATTGAACATGTTTAATCACAAATGAAATTAAAAAATATATATAAAACTAGAAGCACTCGGAGATTGCAAACCTCCGCCAGCACCAAATTCCCCCATCCTGTAATACAGTTAATGCGCAAAAGGGGAGATGAAAACACATTTGCCGAATAAGTTTTGACGTAGCGAACATTTAAGCAGGCAGTATCTCAGTGGAGTCCAATGTGAAAAAAAGTGAGACTCATCACCCGACGTTATTCATCGTCAAACTGGTCTCGGATTAAGCTCCTAAGTTTTCATCAGTGATGTGGCAGTATGCCCTATGGGCTTTGAACGCACCACACAAGTGCCTGCATCTGATTGGTCGTGGCGCTGGCTGCCTGTATATAAAGGGCCCTCCCTCATCTGGTTGACATCACGTTCTCCTTCCGGTTCAGACCGTGGTGTTTATTGGTGCCGCATGCTAGCTGCAAAGTAATGTGCGCGTGAACAATGCACTTAATGACGCTCTGATCGCCACTCAATCGTCCTTCGGGCTGCCTGCACACGCTCCCAGTTCCTCCTCCCTGCTAGAGGCACTTCTTAAAGAAGCTCAAGTGCCGCTG